AGCAGGAAGGCAGAGAACAATATGATGGGCAAAGTCTGTGGGAAGGACTCAAAAAGAGTTCTTTCTCAGTCACGCTCATGCCCGGTAGGCTTGCAATTACACCACAAGCACCGATAAAACTAGTAAAGGACAGTGGTTTTCAAAGTGTGACCCAGACCAGCAGTATCAACATCACTTAGGAATTTGTTAGAAACACAACTTCTCAGGACCATCCCAGACCTACTGAATCAGAAACTCTGAGGATGGGGCCCTTGCAGCCATGTAGGTGGCTTTGATCACAGTTAACTTAGAGAACCTCTGGTCCAGTGGACAGAAATACGGACTGTTGAGTAAGACCGTCAGTTTCAAATCCTTTGAAATGCTGAAATCAGAAAGTCTGCATAAACTGCTATGCCGCCCTAGGCTATAGTAAGCATTCAAGACAAATCTCATTCCCTCGTCCTCTTCCTCCTCCTCCTTTATTTCCTTCTTCCTCCTCCTCTTCTTCATTTTCATTGTCATCTCCATCAGCTGCAGCAGTAGAAGCAGCATAATTTGCAAGAGCTACTGAAATGACATCCCTAGATCCAAGGTTCCCCAGTTGGCCATCCTGTGACTCACGCATCTTCTCTGGCAGGAGAGGGGAGAGAATGGATGGGCAGCTCTAACTCCAGCACAGCTGCAAGGGCATCTGTGCTCAGAGCACTCAGCCCGGGTGCTGGGAAGCTTTTCAGGCAGGAGAAACCTGGCCACCAAGTGCAGATTCTGCCTCTGCTCACATCCTGCTTCCATTCCCAACAGTAATTGGAGGCGGGGAGCTCATTGTAAATGTGCTTAATTGAGCAGTTGAGGTCTTTATTGTCCTGCTGAGGAACTGCTTGTAAAAGCCTGCTTCTGGGCTCACAGCCCCTTTCATGCCTGTGCTTCACTTGGTATTTTCTCCACTCTCTTCTTGTCATAGCCCTGTACCTCTGGGATCACCATCTTTTCCCTGTATTGCTCTTTTAATTGTTTTGTTTGTTTGTTTGTTTGTTTTTTTAACGCAGATCAGAAAAACAGTCAATGATGCAGAGGGCAGGGGGCAGAGGAGCTGGCTAAAGCACACGAGCCAGAGTTGGGGGATTCTAGGGATCAGCAGTATGCAGGGAGTTTCACGAAGGCTGGGAGAGATTCGAGATTTGGGGGACACAGGCTTACAAAGTATGGTGAAGCCTGGAAAAATTCAAAGCACTTCCTCATCCAGAGGAATAGAATGGAAAATGTAGCTATTTCATGACCGAGAAGCTCTGAAAGCTGTAATGATGGAGAGAAACCCAGAGGCGATAGCAGACAGAAAATTAGATATTGGTTTGCAGTGCAGTATTATGTTATTGTTTAGAGGAGGGGGAAAAAGCTTTTCTAAAAAAATGGTTAGAGTCTACAGATGCCATGGTTGGAAAATGGCACTCTCGTTGACCGCTTCATTACCTCAGACGTACTCGGGTACAGAGAAATTGGAGGGTGTCCAGAGAGAAGCAACGAGACCAATGAAAGTAGTGCAGAGACTGACTAATACGAAGACAGCAAGGAACATGATGTGTGTGAAACACGGCTGCCTTGGCCCCAGGAGAGGTTTGGTGAGCAGATGATGGGTATTTGGGAGATACTCACATCATCCATGGAGAACGTATAGGTAGCCTCGCATGATGGTGTTTAAATTAGCCCTAATCAAGTGAAATTAAGGAATTTATTATTTGGATGAAATCCAGGAAACCCTAGACACTTATTCCACTGAGGTGCAGGTAAGTGACAGCCCTTATAGGTGCTACTCCCTTTGCCTGGGATGCTCTTCCTCTTAAACTTGGCATGACAGACTCCTTCAATAATTCAGGTCTCAGCTTAGGTGTCACCTGCTCAGAGAAGACTTGACCTCTCTAAGAGAAGAACTTCTCCCTGCATATGTAAAAGTCACTGTAGACCTGTGCCCTTCCTCTGTTGATTTCACAGAGCAATATGATATTATCTTCCAGATTGAATTCTTTGCTTCCTTAGTGTCCAACCCTCTGGTGGAATGCTTGCCCCAAAAGATCAGGGGTCTCGTCTATCATATTCACCACTAGGTCCCCAAAACTAGTTATTATTCCAATAACCACTCACACTCATAAAGCAGTTAAGTCATGGCGAGAACCCTGCTAACATAGACATGTCTATGTTAACTTATTCAGGCCACGCAAAAACCTAGATTTTATCATTTCTATTTTTTTTAAGAAGAAACTTGAGTCCCAGAGAAGGTGGGTGACTTTTCTAAAGTTGCACAGCTATAGGTGCTAGGGCTGGGATCTGAAGCCAGGTTCTCTAGCTTTAAAATCAACACTCTTAATCACTGCACTACCCAGTGTGTACCCAACTAATGTGTATTGAATAAATGAGTCAATCAGCACATGAGTGAGTGAAGGAATGAGGATTTGAGTCCAGAACATCTGCCCAGAGCAGGAAGCAAGAAACGTATTGAGGTTTCCCAGCTTTAGTGAAGGTGAGTCCTAAATGACAGCCTTCAGGAATCACCCAGATGTCATCCAACTGCAGAGATAATCCCCATGCTGATTACCTGTGTGGTGCTGAAAAGGATCTCCATGCCCTGAGCTGCCAGGAAGGCCTCCCTGCCAGACCGGAGGTTGGCAATATGCCTGAGGCAAAGCAGAAGCGCCCTGCGGATCAGCACGTAGGAATTCGTTGTGTCATGGCTGTGCCAGTCCTGATGCAGCCTGAGCAAGATGGTGACATAGCCTCTGTTCACTGCCCTGCGGCTGTTAGACTCTGAAACCAATGGGAAAAGACAATGTCAATCACAGGCTGGCCATACCTGCCTGAGGATGTCCCAGTGTACCTCCCACAAGATACTAATTCATCATAAAGGGAATGATAATAACTTTCCAGTGGAGAAAACTGGCAGATATCACCTTAATCAAATGACCAAAGTCAACATCAGCAGATAAGATGCCCTGAGAAAGACACACCATCACTTTAGCATCACTTAAGCACCACTTTAGCATCATTTTAGCATCGCTTCAGCATTGCTTCTATGATTTTCCTGCCCCAAAATGCATAACCTAAATGTTACTATGAGGAAAATCAGCAAACCCAAAATGAGGGACATGCTGCAAAATATCCAATCTATACTTTTCAAAAATGTCAAGGTCATGAAAAGCAAAAAAAAAAAAAAAAAAAAAAAAAAAAAAAAAAAAAGAAACAGGAATTGAGCTAACAGAGACTAAAAAGACATGGCACGTCAGTATGATATATAATTATAATTTAGATCCTGGACCAGAAAACAATTTTTTTTTCTTTTGCTACATAAGGCGTTAGTGACGCAATTGGTAAAATATGAATAAAGTGTTTAGATTAACCCATAGTATTGTATAAATGTTTATTGTCAGATTTTGATAAACTATTATATGTTTATGTAAGTGAATATTCTTGTTTTTACTAAATTCGCCGTTGTGAATGTCTATAACATTCTTAAATAGCTCAGAAAAAGGATAATACTGTGTGGGGAGAGAAAAGAAAGGAGGTGGGGGGAATCCACCGGATTTCCATTCCTCTTTCCTAAGCTTCAGTAGACTTGGGATATTGTCATTTGGGTTGAGCAAACTATAAGGCTTAGGTTGGAAAGGAGAGGACCCTGAGTGACAGACATAATGTCAGGAAGGCTGCCATGTGTAACGGATGCATTGGGTGTTTTCCCTAAAGAGAACGGAAGCCAGATCATCAAGGGGTTGGCTCCGTCCAGGAAGGGAACTCCTCAGGCTCAAGGCTACCCAACAAGGAGCTGATCTCTATGTGGTCATGAGCAACGTGGCACCAAAAATATCCAGAAAGAGGTTGGAAGTCCACCCAGCAGGGATGTGAGGACAGGGCTTCCTTACATCTGACAGGGAGCTGTAGTAGCATGCTCTTACAGTTCCCTTCGCCTCTTTCACACTATGAATACCCCTTGTTAGTTGAATGACCCTGCGTGAGACCTCCCATGAGACCCCTCTGATGGGTGAATGATTTCTTCATTTTTCCATGATGAAGAAAGAAAGGGGGGAAGAATGGTCCAAGATACCTCTCTCAAGAGTCCACATACACCACTTTTCATGTTAAACTCCTCCGCCTACAGGGTTGGCGGACAGACCAGTTCAGGTCTACCCAGTAGATGGGGAGATAGATACTCTCTGGATCCCAGTCCTCTCTAACCCTGTGGACTAGGTACCCCGAAGAACTCTAACGGGCTCTCAGGAACAAACGCCCACATCTTGCAGCTCTGCCCTCTCATGACTGCATTTCTCCATTATCCATACTGTTCATGCTGGTTTATGAGACAATCTATGTTTCTGGCCGAGCATGTGAGAGAGAGATCCCCTGAGCTGTAACTGGATAAGCAAAACTTCAGCTCCAAGTCAGATTTTTTCCCAAGACCATATAAGTACACATGAGTGAAACGATAACATGGAAATTCAGTGCTTTATTCCAGAAGGGTTTTATCATAATATTAATGGAATTCTCCTTTTCTTCCACTTGTTTGTCAAATTCTAAATTGTCAGGCTTGATTGAGCCCCAGTGAGATTTTTGACCCATTTGTGCAGTTGGTTTTATTTTTTTTTTCACTTTTTACAACATCTCATTCAGCCATGACCCAAAATTGAGAGCCATGAGCTTTATTCACTCCATGATGTGTTTGTGGAAGGTTGAAATCACCTTCATTACCTCCTTTAATGAATTATTCTTTCGTATCAAAAATATTTCTCTCCTTGACTGGTCCCGGCCACAAAGCACTGGACTTCTTTACTGCCTAAATGAGGTTCCAGCCTATCCAATATCTGATGTTTAAAAGAAAATTGAGGATTAGGTAGGAGGTATTAAAGGAAACTATCGCCTGCTGAAAAGAAGACAGAATGGCAAAAACAGTGCATGGAGGTCGCATGGGCAGTGGGAGGTTAACTTTTGTCTTTTATCTATGTTAAGGGTATGAGACTAATAATGTGTTATCCTCATGACTTTCATCTCCCACTTCTGGGGGGAGGGGGAGGGAGATAACGAGAAAAAATCCCTTATCAGATCCCGATGATTTTATTCACCATTTTCTGTTAATCTTCAACAAGCTGTCATGTTTACTAACATCGAAAATAGCTACACCTCCTCCCCCAACCCCTACCCTAAATCAGTCAATCTTTCTCCGTGAATGGCTTGGGAGTTTTGCAAAAGTCAATATGCACCTGAAACCCGACAAGAGAGCCATTAAGCTGAACAAATGTAGAGGGGAACCGAAGAATGAAATGAGGGTCACTGGGATCTGCAACTTGCAGGAGTTTGAGAAGATCTGAGGGGAGGACAGTGCTTCTCTCAGGGAGGCCACATAGGAAGAAGATGTGGGGTTTCATACATTCCTTTGGGTGAGCTCAGGGTTTGGAGGCCAGAGAAGATCCCCAGACCAGCTGTACTACTTTAGTCTGTTTATGTCAATAGCTTCTTCCTAAGATTTCCTTGGAAAAAGAGTTCCTTTTCCTTAATTTTTTTTTTAAATTTCCGAAACAGATTGGTTTATGTTAAACTGGTTGGAGGATGGGGTGGAATGGACAGAGAGGACTTCTGAGGACCTTTAATTTAACAGCTCACCTCCACCCCGTTCCCCATCCAAAGGCGCTCTCCATGCCCCCTTGTCTCCATCAGCCCCTCCCTGGCAGCCCCCTGCTGAAGTTCTTATCTGGCCAGTTTTCCTGTGGCAAATCTGCAACCTTGTCCTCTCCAATTTATCCTCTTAAGTTCTACTCTTTCTACCTGCCTTTCCAGATTTTATCCTCCTGAAGTCATATTTGTAGCTAATTCTCAGTCTAAAATGTGATCTCGCACTCTCCTTATTTTTACCCCAGGTATTTCTTTTTTTTTTTTTTTTTTTTTTTTT